ATGCTGTTCTGCTGGAGTTTCCACTCCAGCTTCCTCCTGTAATTGTCCTTAGCCTCTCTGGTCTTGTCCTTTAGTAACACCTGGACCTTCCTCACCTCCTCTTTGTTGCCCCCTCTGAAAGCCCTCTTCTTGTTGTTGAGGAGGGCTTTGATGTCCTTAGTCACCCACGGCTTGTTATTTGGGTAACAATGAACAGTCTGAGCTGGAACAATGGAGTCGGTGCAGAAAGTTATGTAGTCTGTGATACACTCAGTAAGCCCATTGATGTCCTCGGCGTGAGGCTCACAGAGTGTTTCCCAGTTGGTCACCTCGAAACAGCCCTGTAGTTCTGCTATTGCCTCCTCTGACCACCTCCTAACAGTCCTGGTGGTCACAGGTTCCCTCCTCACAATTGGCACATAGCGGGGGGTGAGGTGAATCAGGTTATGATCTGACCTACCAAGTGGGGGGAGGGAGGAGGAGCTGTATGCATCCTTGACGTTAGCATACAGTAAGTCTAAAGTTTTCTCTCCCCTGGTGGGACAGTCCACATATTGTTTGAATGTTGGTAGTGTATTGTCCAGTGATACATGGTTGAAGTCACCCGAGATCACAATAAAGGCACTCGGGTGCTGAGTCTGTAGCCGAGCTATGGCAGAGTGGATAGTGTCACATGCAGCTGTGGGTTAGCAGAGGGGGGAACATAAACAGCCACCAAGATGACGTGAGAGAATTCCCTGGGTAAATAATACGGCCTGAGTCCAACAGCACACAGTTCAGTGTCCGGGCAACAAATCCTTTCTTTGATTGTTATGTTGGCAGGGTTACACCACCGGTTGTTAACTAAAACAGCAAGCCCACCTCCTTTACGCTTACCGCTAGCGATGCTGTCCCTGTCCGCTCGAACAGTGTGGAAGCCTTCCACGGAAGCATTCTCATCGGGAATGTCCTGGTGCATCCATGATTCGGTGAAACACATCAGGCTACACTCTCGGTATTCCCTCTGACTCCGTACCAGTGCTGAGAGCTCATCGATTTTAATTGCCAACGATCGCACATTTCCCATCACGATAGACGGCAGACACGGTTTAAACCTCCTCCTCGCTTCGAGCCTCCGCTGTCTCACCGTCACCTTTTTTCTTCTCTTCTGTCCTTGACCTCTGCATCCCCGATGTGTTTTCCTCCAAATTTCAGCTGGTACTTCTACGGGCCTGGCCAGCGAACCGGCCGGCATCAGGGCGATCAGCTGATCTCTGGAGTAAACAGTCCGTGCGTGTAGGAGATGTGCCGCGGTCCTTGATAAAAGTAACAGTTCCACGGCCACCAGAAGAACAAAAACTCTCTCAATCCACATGATTGAGTAAGAGATAGAAAACGGAGGAAAATACAAGTCAGGAAAAAAAAGAATACGTAAGAAAAAAGAGCTAAACTAGGAGAAAAGCAGGAGCGACTGTAACAGGCTGCACGCTGGTTGGCGCATGCGCACTAACTCAAAGGAACTACTTCCTCTTCCGCCTTTCATAGTCATGTGCGAAATACGGCTGTGCAAATGTCTCGCAGCCCCTTGGCGTGCGCACTCACAACAATGGCTGAATGTAATTCTGCAGACGTATTTTACCACCACAAACAGCTGAGACGTGGTTTGCGATACATGTGGCAAAAACGTGAGGTGTTGTAGCCATACTTGCCAACCTTGAGACATCAGAATTAGGGAGACATTAAAAAGGGCTGTTGGGGGGGGTGATAAATACATTTTACAGTGTTTATTTATCGGAAAAAATACGTTAAATGCCACCGTTATTATTGGCCGGCCCGGAAACAGCGGGGGTGTCCAAATTCAGAGGCTGCTTCCACCTGAGGACCCGGCCTTCGCGGTCTAAAGAAAGCCGGGTAGTACGTCACAAGCTCTCTCAGTGGAGTGAAACTCTGCCGTCTGCTCCTTGCTATCTAAAATATAACAGGACACTGACGTAAACTCTCGACCGTCTCACACTTTGCTTAATTCATTTTCAGTTAGATATTTATTCAGCTGTGTGAATCCCTCGGGAACCCTCCATCAGGATTAATAAAGTTAAATTTAATCTAATCTAATAACTTTAATCTCAGCCAAACAGATCTACTCAAGAACAAATAAAACACTGAAAAAGCCAAACAATAACATTTTTAAGTTATCAAAGTGGCTTATATATCATGTTTAACCCGAGTAGCGAAAGACTGCGGGGGTTTGAAGACGATGTGTCAGTGTGATGAATCGCTGTGCGGCAGGCAGGAGTTGGACCCAAAATGCAGGCACTCAGGCACGAGGTTTAAACACAACGAACTCAGCTTTAGTGCTGGCAGGGGAAAGTCATACAGAAGCAAACTAAAGTAAACTGGAAAATGCCAAACTAAACACACAGGGAGACCCACACAGCATGAGAGATGACGACATGACACTGACTCAGAGAAACACAGGGTTTAAATACACTGGGAAGTAACGCGGGGAATGAGACACAGAAGGAGGGCACAGCTGGGAGAAATCAGGACTGACGAGACAAGGAAGCAAAGCAGGACGCATTCACATAAGACACAGACCTTCAAAGTAAAACAGGAAGTATAACACAGAGACGCACACTTGACTCGGTGCAGACAGCAATTAAGAAACACAGAGACATAAACCATAAGGCAGAGGACGAAGAACCAAAATACACAGGGAAATACTAAGCTTGGAACACAAGGAACTAGACTTGAGGGAGTAACGAAAGACCAACCATGAGAACATAATTCACAATACAGAGTGACAGAAAACACGAGAAACTCAAACATGCAAAGACACAGACGTACACTGAACAGAGTGTACATCTGTACAAAATACAAGAATCACAAAGACCTAAAAATGTTGGGTCAGGAGACCCAGGACCCTGACAGTCGGTCGGCTCAGATATTTGAAGTTTACACTTCAAACATTCTTCAAGCATTTTCACCTGAAAATATGTTAAAAGTTATTTTGCGACCCAGAAAGAGAAATAAGACTAATATTAAAACTAAGTAGCTGCCGCCATTGTTGGAAACTGGAATTGGCTGGGCCGCGCTATGAATTCTGCGATATGGTTTTTCAATTTTGTTGTCTAGGTGGAAATTCGGGAGAATGGTGGCTCCGGGAGGGTTGGCATGTATGGTTGTGGCAACATCACTAACCTTGTCAAAAACCTCAGAGTAAATCACATCACAGAATATGAGGCGCGTATGTTGAGGCGAACTGAAGAGGAGGACAGGGACAGGTGCTGCTAGGGCGAGACAGACGTCTCTCACGGAGTCCTTTAGTGCTGCAGGCAGGCAACGTGTTCAAATAATGCACAACTTCAGGTTTTTATTTCTATATGATGAACTCTGCATTATTACATGATAAGAACAAGAAACAAGAGAGACGATCAGCTGATCATTGATCAGTTTCATGATTGAAGTAGCAACAGGAGAGGGAGGGGAGAGAATGAGAGAAGAGGCAGCTGTGCAGCAAAGACAGAATAACTCCAGCTTTGTGTCTTTTTCATTGTAGCTGAAGTCTGGGACGAATCGCGTTCCTTTCCCCCTCAATATGGATGTGTTGTAATTGGTCCAGCCCAGAGTTGATCGTGACCAACTGGCTAATCCACCACCTTTCATTGTTTATACCGTTACAAAGACAAACAAACATAAAAATGAAAAATCATCATCGGCCCACCGGGCAAATGTCCGGTATGCCCATCGGCAGGTCCAGCTATGCGGTCAGCTGGTGGGTAACAGGCATCTCCGAAAACGTCAGAGCACTTATGCAAATATGTGATGTCTTGATGAATCGAGCAGATACTTGAAGTTTACGCAGCACCATTCTTGCATGAAAATATCTTTAAAGTTTATTTTGTGACACAGAAAGAGTTATATTTCAAACTCCGCCACTCTGTGTTCCTCCGCCACTGCCTCGTTTCATCATTTCGAGCTGATTGGAGACCAGAACAGCCAATCAGATAATTTTGCATCCAGGTCTGTGATTGGCTGGTTTTGTGGCACAAATATAACAGTGTAGAGAAAGAGTTGAGCGCGCACGGGCAGAAATGTTGAGAGCGCGAGCAACACGTTGCGAGAGCAAATGAAAAACTGAGCGAGAGGGGCTGCTGTTGTGTGTGGATAATAGCAAACACTGAAATAAATTTTTTGCACGCAGCAATGAATTTTTTCACTCAAATTTAGCTTTTCTTCGCTCAAAATAAATTTCTCCTCAAAATACAACACTTGTACCTGCAAACTTTTTTTACGTGCGCTCAGAATAGTGGCACAAAAATAACGCCATACGGCTCTAAGAGCCGTTTCGTTTGCGACCGACACATCACTAATAAGGACGCGTCATAGCCTGTCAACGACGTTCATTAGCTGCGTATATATGAATGTGAATCACATTATTGGCTGGACTATGGGATAAGGTGGCATCGTTCTAATCCCATACAGGAGCAGCCAGTCACTCACTGACTAACACTGCAGAACAGAATTGTTAAAGTTTTAATGTTAATTTCAATTCAGGTTAGATTTTTTTTCTGTGCGCAGAGACCTGCCAGCAGGTTAGAGGGAACATTGCTGAGAACACATATGTATTTAACTTTACATCGTCAAACGAAAGGAGAACATTCAAGCTATGCAGAAGGACTCTGCCCAGATTCATGTACTGTGATCATTGTAGAAATTCTCTACATAGGAAATTCTGTAGTGTTAGAACAGATGTATTTGTGCTGTACTGAAACCTGGTGTCATGTGAAACTATCACATGGATTAAACTGGTTTTCAGGCGTAACCCTGTGTTTACAGGATAACAATAACACGGTCTGTGTGCCAGGAATCAGATAAGTTAGGTTTCATTTACTCATTTACAGTATATCTATTTTTTTAAACAGGTGTGTTTTCCTGCTCAGACCAGTTTTGCAGCTCTTATTATTCTCTCACATAGCGTGCATGCCACTAGACTTGGCAGGACTGTGCCCTGCTTCGTATATAAAGATGCTGCAGGTGGATGTGAGCAGCATCTCTGGAGACAGAGGTGGGTTTGGAGGATCATGGCGTCCACACTGATGCTCCTGCTTCAGCTGCTCCTGGTCTCACTGGTGTCTGCTTCTCATTTTTTTGGGGGAACCACGACCTACACCTACAAAGGAAGAAACCCTGATGGCTCATTTAATGTGAGATATACAACGTTTAACTGTACTTAATGTTAATGACAGATAATAAGTGAAGCTGTGACAGAACAGGAATCTCCTCTTTTCACACTGATTATTCTGACTTTTATTTCCTTCTGTGCACAGGTCTGATTATTCTGATAGAAGAAACAGAAAATGAAGTTAAAAATGTAAAAGGTGTCGCTTCTTAACTTATCCATTGAAACACATATTATTATTTTTAAACGCACGAGTGCACACATGTTGTCTTTTATAAAAGTTTAAACAAATAGTTAACTTTAAAAAAAAAACTGAATAAAACTAATAAAAGTCCGTTGTCACATAGTTGTTACTGAAAGATGCTCCTCAAAAAATGTACTATAGTAGTAGTATTGGTAGTTGTAGTAGTTGTAATAGTATTGTGTGTCTCACTTTCTTCACCTCTAAATCCAGAGTGCTTTGACTAATCAATGGCTGCAGACGTGGCTTCCATGACCTACACTTGTTGTGTTAAAATTGTGATCACATGATCAAACACAGATACAGAACCTTCTTCTTGCAGATAACATGGAGTGACAAACTAAAATCTGACTGAGTTGCTTGTATGTTTTAAAGGTGGAAATTCGGGACAGAGACACCTATGATGGATGTTACTACTCCCTCTACTGGTATTGTTCCAGTGGATACTGTGGCTACACCTCCAGAAGTCAGAGAGGCAGACTGGACAGCAGCACCAGTGCTCCACTCTATAACAGACAATGGTGTGAAACTGAAACCGTCACCACGCGGGTCGTCTCGAGCAACAGACCTTTTGAAATGCGGTGAGCATTTTTCATTTTAAGTATGAAGATACTGTTGATGTGCTTCATTGTGTGTAATTATTGGTTATTAATTTTTATTAATTATTATTCATCTAAAGTCACCACAGTCATTAAATCTGTCTGATATTATGATAAAACAAGAGCTTGGTGGGTGGATGACTTTGTTATTTCCAAACAAACCAGGGCAGCCAGCTGCTGCTGGATCCCCACACGGACCTATTACTGGAGCCATTATTGGTACTTGAACACTCTTGTGGATTTAGGAGAAAGATCCGACACTGGAAAACCAAACAGAGCACCAGAAGTTGCCATCCTACCTTTCCTCAGGTAAGCTTCCTGAAGTTTGATTTCTCTCACTGGGCCCACGTCCTCATTTCAGATTTGACAGCATTTTTAGTAGATAAAGGCGAAAACATGAGCTGAGCTGCGGTTTGGGGAAGGCCTCGAAGGGGACTGGTGGCGGCTACCAGGCCTGGCAGATCCCCGTGTACTAAGCAGAAGTGAAGAATGGAAAGAATTGAAAGAATTAAAAAAGGAGAGGTAGGGTGGGGCACAAAAACAAACATGCATTAGAACTGGAAGGGGTGTGTTTGGAGGCGAGGTCCAGCTCCTGAAATTCAGATAATTTATCTCCAATTAAACTATGAGCCTCTAAACAGCAGAATTTGAAAATGTCATCATGTGGCAAAACCTGCTTCTCTGAAAAAGGAAAACAAGAAGTTCTTGTTTTTTATCAACTAGCAGACAAATTAATTTTAGTTTTCATTCTATTGTCTATATATTTTTCTTTCTACCTTCTTGATCAGTTTTACAAGATAATACAAGATAATCATGCCAGTGCTTGACTCATGTTACTGTGTGAGACACTGAGAGAGACTTTGTTAATGTGTTTATTAAAGAGTTCCTGAAAACTGCCCACGGACATACAAGCTGATGTCCTTTGATCCTGATGGAGACAAAGTCAGATGCAGATATGGAAATCCAGGAAGTGCAGAGTGCTACGGCTGCACCCAACATTCAGGCTTCCACTTACACCAGGTTAGCTGATGTTCTAATGCACTGTACAATAACTCACTTGTGGTTTTTCCCTTTTAACTCCAAAATGTCCCACTGTCAGGACTCCTGCACGTTACATTACCAATACACTAATGCTAACCCGTTAGTGAATGCATTTGAGTTGGTGGTGGAGGATTTCCCACAAGGACACATCAGTCTGAGATACTCCGATGGATCCCAGTCCTCCAGGTCTCCTCTGTCCGCTCCTACTACAACTACAACAGCCCGCACTACCACACCATGGTGGTGGACTACGGGCAGACCGCTGCAGGCGACCTCTCCTCCCCTCAGTAAACTACCGTTGCAGTTCTCTTTCGTTGGTAAGGCCCATTGTTGTCTCAGTGTTTGATGATGTGATGATGCAGCACACTCCGCTCTGCTCTGTTCTCAGCATGTTGCTGCTTTCATGACTCTGCACATGAAGACAGTGGTAACTGTGGTAGAAACAGCTGATTGCAGCAGACCTATTTACTCATGTGACCCACAGTTTATCTTAAAAACTTAATATTAGTTTTACCTGTTTGCACTGAATTCTTCAGCAGCCCAAGAACCAAACTCCACTTCACGTGTTTGTTTAAAGCCTTAAACTTTTGCTATGCAGACAGCTGCTTCTTCCTGTTTGGTAATGGATGCTTATTTGTTACTACTCTAACTGTACTCCAGTGGATCCACCTGCTCCTTCATGCCAGGAGGGACTATACTTGCCCCAGTTTGTGCACCCAACACCTGCACACGGACAGCGCATTCATGCAGAGGTCAACAAAGAGGTGGAGATCAGAATCAAAGCACAGGCTTCATATGCAGCGTGAGTGAGACAAAGCTTGATTAAGGAGGCCTGATGGCAGCGAAGCATTATTATCACTTCAGCAGGAAAGCTCAGCTCAGCATTAATGAGCTAATCCTTGTTTCCTTCTGTGGTTTTCTTACAGAATACAAGATATCATCATGAGCGGGCCAATGAATATGACCCAGCACAGAACCACACATAATGAGTTTGTGCTTCGGTGGACGCCGTTCTCCAGCGATCTGGGAGATTATTTCCCAGTGTGCTTTGCTGTTGAATCGGCGACAGGGTTAGCCTCGGTTTCATTCCTTTAAACACAGAAATAGTTTGGGAGAGCAAAGTCATGATTGGACTCTTTGTGGGTTTTTCAGGTCAGCAGTGACCAGTTTTCCAGGCAATACCCACTCTCATAACCACGGCACCCCGACTTCACAGTAAGTGACTTTTTGTTGTTTTTAGTGCTTTAAAAAAATGGATTTTCTGTCTAGGTGTGAGAAGTTTAAATAAATGTGCTTTTGGAATAAATAATGCCACTATGAACAAATAATAAAATGAAGCTCTCCTCATTTGACCTTAAGCTTTACAATTTCAAGAGTATTTGAAGAAATAATAAAAAGGAAAATTATTTAAGTCACACATTAAGTCAACTTATCATCGTTCTGTCTCTTCAGGTCCGGCGTCTATCAGTCCGAGATGAGGTGTGTCATCTTGAAAGTTGGAACAGAGGAAAGTGAGTCTAAAGTTGTCTTTGATATCAAAATTAAAAATAAAAAATAAATAAAAAACAAAATAAATAACTAAAAATAAAAATAGAAAATATGTCAACTTTTTGGACATATTCTCAATTTTCTATTGTCAATATTTTTTTTTTTAGACTTAACTCATTCTTTTTATAGTTAATATTCTAACTTTTTGACAATTGAAGTTGGAGAATTTTGACATATTTCTGGCAACATTAAAATAAACTGAAATTGTAAATCTTTAAATCTGTTGTGTTGGATTGCATTAGGTTTAGCTTAATGAAGTGTCATGGTCTGCGAGGGCAGACCGTGTGGAGTGAGTTGAGGACCCAAGAGCAGACAGAGGCGAGGAGACAAAACTGAACTTAACAAAAAGCGAGCCTTTATTTAGGGCCAAAAACTCACGGAAAAAACAACAAGAAAGTAACTGAGGGAAAACCTGAACATATACTAGGAAACTATGACTCTTACTGAGAATTTAGACTATGACTAAACAATATACAAACTATGACAAGGGATAGGGGAGATACACAGACAACACAACGGCAAACAAAGGAAGACTGAGGACTTAAATACACACATGAGGTGATCAGGGGAAGTGGAGACACATGAGGACACAGCTGACTCGAATGAAACATAATGACAATACAGAGGAGAGCAACATTAACTACAATGAACAAAGGACACCAGACTCTTCCAAAATAAAACAGGAAACACGGAGACATAGACATGAACTTAACATAACCGACAAGAAACATGACACGTAGACGCAGGAACCAGGGAGACTGAGGACAGGGGGAGATGACAGAAACAACTAAGAAATAAGGACTAACCAGCAACCTAGAAATTAACTAGATCGAAAATGAATACAAAAATACCTAAAACTCAAACACTGGGTCACACGACCCAGTACCGTGACATGAAGAGTCCTTTGAATGGGTATCATAAGGTAAATTCTAAGTCTGTATGTTTTCTTACATCATATTTTATATGTTTTTAACTTGTTTCAGTTAAAACCAACGTGATCTGCACTGAGTCTGAAATGAGAGTCGAGGTGGAGAAATCGTCCCTCCGTGGACTCCGTGAGGATCACCTGCGTCTCAGTGAGCCCAGCAACACCCTCTGCAGCCTGGAGAGATACTCCAACAGCACTCACATCATCGGCGTCATCCCTCTCAATGCTTGTGGCACTCAGATCGAGGTAACCAGAGCTCCTTTGTATCTATTCTGTTGTTGTTGGTTTAGATATCAGAACGAGGACTGACAGAGTGATGTTTGACTCTGCAGGAGGACGAGGAACATCTCATTTTCAAGAATGAAATCACCACAGTGGATGACAGCGGAGCTCTGATCACCAGGAAACATAACCTGGAAGTAGAGTTCTACTGTCAGTACCCCAAAAAGGGGAACGTGTCACTGGGCTTCACAGCACACAGGACGATGATGGAAGTGTTTGATAAAGGCTTCGGCACGTTCACCTACCAGTTTGAGTTTTACCCCAACAACCAGTTCAGAAGCATCATTGATCCCAGTTCGTACCCTCTGGAGTACGACTTAGGGCAGAAGATTTACATGGAGATAGATGCGTCCTCCATAGTCAACGACACCGAGATGTTTGTGGAGTCCTGCAGAGCCTCACCGTACGACAACCCCAATTACCAGCCAACCTACTCCATCATTGAAGACGGGTACGCATGTGCTGATGGAAGTGAAGTGTATATTATTTAGGGCACATCAGTTACCTCAACATTTGATCATTTGGCCAAGTTTGATACAAAAACCCACCATTGGATCAATATATAAAAGAAAAGAAGGAAAACCAGAGTTTTACCAAAGTTTTCTCTTTTCTTTGATTCTGAAATGCTGTAGAAACCCTGTGATGTCTCTGCTTCTGTAGCAGCTTTGATTGTAAGACATGGAGTTACAGCAGCTGTGTCGTCTTTGTGCTCGGCTCTGATTAGGTGCCCCGTGGACCCAACTGTGATGATCCATGAGACCGACAACAAGAGACAGTTTAGATTCTGCATCGAGGCCTTCAAGTTCATCGGTTTGCACGATCAGGTAAAGAACTGTAGATATCTAGAAGCTCCAATTTCTAAAAGCACTAATAAATATGCCCAATTTGTGTTTTCTCCTTGGCTGGGATGGAGAAGCAAAGGTTTGACTGCAGCTCTGCTCTTGTTCCACTAGAGGGGGCAACTGTACGTCTGCTGATATACTGACAGTGTGTCCTGTTTCACTCAGGTATACATCAGCTGTTCAGTAATGATGTGTGAAGCAGGGAATCCCAACAGCAGGTGCTCACAGGGATGCATCAACTCAAACCATCACCACCACTCCCACCGCCGAAAGAGGGACTCTGCCATCCAGACTGCAGCGCACTTCGTTTCCCAGGGTCCTCTGCGTTTGAAGAGGTCAGCAGACACCAGCATGAGTGCAGGTATGGAAACACAAAGTGCTTCTTAACATTAGCTTCTTTGTTTGACTTTCACTAAAGTGTGAACAATGCTGAGGTTCTATTGTGGTCTTCAGGGAACAACCTGAACCTGAACCTGAACCTGGTCTTCATCGCTGGATGTCTTCTTGCTGCTGTTGCCATGATCTGTGGAGTGCTCCTGTACAGGGCCAAAATGTCAAAGGTCAAATACCAGCGTTTGGCCTCGAGTGAAAATTAAGACAGCAGTGTAATCAGAATACCAGTTCCTGCATTACTTTTCAATGAACCTCATTTTGCTGTCAGAGTTTCGGTGTTTGTGTATCTGCTCATGTTTAAATCAATCATGAATTTAATTCTTTATAATTCAGCTTCATTTGTGTAGCGTGAACTCACAACAACAGTCACCTCAATTAGCTTTATAATGTAGGGCACAGTCCCAGCTGTTACAGCTGTGTTTGTGTTTGCCAGCTTTAAGAGAAAACAGACATAAAACAGACTTTGAAAGATGAATCTTTGGATTGTTGTTCAGTCGTGCAGCTTTACAGCAGCTTTTCTTTTTATATGTTAGAGTGTGATTCACAGAAAGTGTTACTGTTGATGTGTGCTCCTCTATAATCATTTTTGCTTTGAATATCTATGGCTATCATTGGACTGGTTACTATACATCTTTGTTATTAATCAATAAAAACATACGTGTTAGTGCTTCCTCAGTCAAAGTGTTACTCTTCATCACATCATATGGCGCATATACAGTGCCTTGAAAAAGTATTCATACCCTTTAAACTTTGACACATTTTGTCAACTTACATCCACAAACTTTGATGTTTTTTATTGAGGTTTTCTGTGACAAACCAACACAAAGAGCACAAAATTGTGAAGTGGTACCAAAACGATACATGGTTTTCAAAATTTTAAGCAAATAAAAATTTGAAAAGTGTGGCGTGCAATTGCACTCAGATCCCCCTGCGTCAATATTTTCACTGCAATTCACTGCGAGTCTTTTGGGGTATGTCTCTACCAGCATTGCAAATGTAGAGACCAAAGTTTTTGCCTATTTTTCGTTGCAAAATAGCTCAAGCTCAGCCAGATTGGATGCAGAGCGTCTGTGAATAGCAATTTTCGAGTCTTGCCACAGATGCTCAGTGGGATTTCTGGACTTTTAATGGGCCATTTTAACACATTAATATTCCTTATATTTCCACACCATGTTTCACAGTGGGAATTGTGTGTTCAGGGTGATGAGCAGTGTTACTTTCCCGCCTCATGTAGCGCTTGGCATTTAGGCTCAAAAGCTCAACTCTGGTCTTGTCTTACCAGAACATCTTCCACCTGATTGCTGTGTCCCCTACATGGCTCCTGCCAAATTGCATGTGGCATACTTTTTCCATTTTTGGATGATGGATTGAACTAGTGATGGCCTGCTTGAAGCTTGAAGCTTCGTTCAGTGTGACTGTCCGACTGATATATTGTAGGAATGAGTTAGAGTGCAGAGTGGGATTGCAAACATGCTTACATACAAGGATAATGGTTAGAATAAGTCTCTGGGTCAGAGAGTCCCGAACATGATATTCTAAATCAACTTTGAATCACTAGAAGAACAATGGATAATAACATTAGATTATCAAGGCTAGGCAGGGAAGTGTTTTCCTTTTCTGTGTCTTACAGAGGAAGGGGCAGACACCAGACCCCTTGTGGGGGTTTGAAACAGCCGATTCCGCTTTCTTAATTCTTCGATAAGCCAGGGCCTAGCCAGCTCCAATCAGCAAGAACCCTGTTATCATGGTTCCGAATAGGTAGATATCTTCAGCGTCCTCGATCGACAGTCCCGCCAGGCACACGACCCTCCAGTTATACCACCCGTCCATCGTGTATCCGGCAGGGAAAGTACCTCCAGGACACTCGGGCTCTCCCGAGCCCAGACTTCTCATTAAGAAAAGGGTGTCAATTGCATTCAGAGACCAGTTGATCAAATCCATAATTCCTCTTTTAGGTTTTAGAGAACAGACTGTGAGAGAGTGTTCCAGGGAAAAGTACTACAAAAAACCCCCACGAGACTAGACAAGGACACAAGAGGCTAAGCAGGGAAGCTAAGGGAGAGGAGGAGGAGGAGAGGAGCCAAGAGCCAGAACAGTAACAGTAGCAGAAACAGGAAAAGCACTCTCGTGACTCACCGAATTTCTCTGTAATCCCGGAAAAGGGCTGAGGAGAGGATTGGCGAGGGCGACGTTTCCTTCTGGAAGAGGGAACCAGTGGAGAAATGGAGTTGACCTCCTCATCCTCCGACCGCATAGCCGTTGGCGTGGTGAGAGACAGGGCAAGCTCACGTGCCCTGACCTGCCCCCTCCGAAGCAAACTGCTGAAGCCAGGGGCTGGTTTTCACCATTGCTTCCACTGTGCTCAGTCCCACAGACATAGCCCATAAGCTGTTGGACTGGGATATGCGGTCCAGCAATTTAACGAGTCCTTCCATCTCAGCGTCCAACTCTGAAGTGAAAAAGTGCGATCTTCTGTCATGTGAAGGCTGCGTGCAGGCAGGAGTGGTGAAATGGAGAACCCAAAGTGCAGACTCCGGAGACAAACATGAACTCAAACAGAACAAAACTAAGAATCCAAATAACTTAAAAGGGCACAGACCACACAGCATATATGAGGGTAGATCGCAACACTGACACAGAGAAACACAGGGCTTAAATACACAGAGGGAGCTATCAGGGAATGGGAAACAGGAGGGAAACGCAGTTGGGACAAATCAGGGCTCACGAGACAAAGGAAGCAAAATCACACACATTAACATGAGACACGGACTTTTAAAGTAAAACAGGAAACATAACACAGAGACGCAGACTTGACAAGGGGAGACAGCAACTATGGATCATAGACAGAAAACCAGAACACTAAAACTCTAACAAAACCCACACAGAAAACCTAAGCTAAGAATAAACCTATAACCCATAAGGCACAGCTAGAATATAATGAAATAATCAAAATCAAAGAACCAAAAACACAAAACACTGGGTCGACGACCCAGGCACCATAACAACAGTGGAACAAATTCTCTTCTAAAATAAAAACAGGATGACCTTAAATACATCGAGTTTTTACTTTACAAGGTTATAAGCATTCACCCTTTCCAGTTCACAATCAATTCTACCCCCCGTTCAAAAATATGTCTAGGAAAATTGGCCTGATATAATATTACTTATAAACATACCTGTCCAGCTGTCCAGTGATTAATTCCAAAAGTACGTGGAGGCAGGACCTCACAGCAGAAGCATCCTCCATAATGTGTTGTACATTATTATATGAATTTTTCATCTATTGTATTTACCAACATCAAGAAGTCACAAGCAAAGAAAGACCACATCATGGCACATGTTTAAATAAGGAAAGTTTATTGATCACATTTATTTATTAAATAAATAGACATGACAGTTTTTTCACCCCCCCAAAAAATACATGTTCAAAGCAACACAATGGTGGCCCACCGTACTGAGAATTCCACTCTGCAGATTGGGCAATCATAATGAAGCAGTACATTTTATTTTGTAGATTCAAGCTGCTCTTCATATTTTTGGCCACCAGATGTCACCTCACAGTGGTTGCGTGCTTTGCCCCACACAGTGGCAAAGTCTTGCACTTTCATATTCAATTCAGCTTCTCCATCATGTACCTTTAGATGTTTCATACAGGGTTCAACATATTAGTTGTTTTCACAGGTGTGCTCTATATCTCAACCATGGCTCATAATAAGACGACAGTCTTTCAAACAGGTCAAATGCCTCTGAGCACATCATTAGTTTAAATATTTACCTATTTTACTTCATCTCATATGTCATTAAACTGAATTTGAGCAACCCTAAGCTTAATGCAGATTACTATTAACAACTGGTTAAATTAATGGTCTGGAGCACCGGCTGTTGTTGATCAGGGCAATCTAAAGAATCTGCTTTTTTTTTTTTTGCTTTTTGTGGATTTCTCCACCTATTTGCACCTATTTTACCTGCTCCAGTTTGGTGTTTTTCTAACCATTCCTCATCAGGTGTTAATTTTACTTGTTTATTCCCCATTTTCAAAGATTTTGCTGGGCCGTCGCTGGCACGCTTGACTTCAGAGTGGTTTACTGATACGGCCTTCGACTTCACCCTAACGGTGAAGCGGTATCAGTTTTATGAGATGAAACTCAACCGTTCTCCTTTGTCACCAGTACGTGAGCCTCAGCAAAGAAAACAAAAATAGAAGTAGTTCGGCAGCGTATTGTGCTGTAAAATCAACTTACTTCCAGACACATACACACACACACACACACACACACACACACACACACACAGACATTTGCGCGCTAATTTGTCACAAAGTAATTTCAGCTGCCTCTAAAACTAGTCTAAACACAGTTCCTTTTAGCGAACTTAAACCTATTTTATCACATTTCTTTAAACCTTTGCGGCCGTTTTATACACCAAAATAGTGTTTCTCCCCCTCCGACTTCTCACTGGTGGTTCAGATCATCGGACTGAATCCCAGCGCTGTGGACCAGATTTAAAAACACCGGCCCAGACCCGAATTTGACGTCCTGGGGCTCTCTCCTTGTCCAAGAGGGCTGTGCACAGGCTTCGGTGCTGGCTCCCCACGGCGTCAGGAATCAGTGCTGGATCCTGGAACAGAGTCACAGATAACAGTTCAGATATTTTCTGCTCCGGCTACGAAGGACCAAATAATGTTAAGAAATATACTCTATAACACTTCTTCAGTAAAGACTCAGAGAAGAGAAACACACGGAACTTCTTGCTAGCAAGGGCAGCCTCCAGAACTGAGACTCGCACTGAGAAACTGCCCCGGTCTTTATTTATACTTCAGTGGGTGCTTGTGTGTGTGTGGTCTTGCTGATCAAAGGGTCATATAACATTACAGCACAAAAGGAACATCCTTGGTCAGGAAGAGGGTAGTCTCACCCTAGATGGTTCACCCTAGATAACACAGTGAGGAAGTCCAGCAGTTCATCTAAACAAAAGGCACTTAGACTAAAACAGACATAGCTACGTTAAAACAATAAAACAAGGTATGACCTCTTCCCATGCTCCCAGGATGTGGGGGTGGACGCTAGAACACCTTGAAGAGTTACAGGCCCCCTAGGATGAGACATTCTTTCAATATGCCACCAACTATATACTTCTACACACAAATGATTACATGCAGCATTCTACCATATGCAAACTTATATCATTAAAAGATTATACTGACTACTAAGTACAATTTTCCTATTAACAATTAGCTTAGAACTTTGTTTTATATCTTCTCTTTGAACAAGATAGAAATTTAGGAGTAACATGGCCTTACAAACCCAGCAGTGAGATCTTAAGAGATCCAGCCTATGGCTCTTCAATGTGGTGTCACAGGGTCCCCAGGAAAAAACATTGTAAATGTAAAATAATAAAATAAATATTCTCCTGTAGCAATAACAAAGTTTAACATAAATTATTCTGTAGCAATTACACAAGAATATCCAGTAATGTCCCTGCCTACAATTAAACACATTCACTTACTGAAAATCATCTGCTGTGGCAAATGGGTGCAAGCCTTTGACCACAAACTGAGTCTCTGCTCGGTGACATTCGTCTATCCCGGCCTGAAAGGAGACGCTGCTGGCAGACTGCAGCGAGAGCTGCCAGCATCTGAGCCAGACTCTGTCTCATCATGGTCACTAAATGCACAGTAATGGCAGGGTTGTAATAAGGCAGATCGCGCTAACATAATATGCACTGTTAGTTGATTATTTACCTGCTGCATTAACGGGCGAGGACGTGCAAACGTTACCGCTGCTGCTGGGTTGAGATTCACGAGTCCGGAGCGGAATTAAGAACACGACATTCATTTAAGGTCATCGCGTGTTTTGTGAGCAAATGCTTTTGATATTCGTAGTGTTTCCTCCCTTAAATTAAA